GTCTGCATGCTCTGGGAACCACCAAACAATGGCCTGTCAATAGATATGGACTTATCTCGACTCCCTTATTAAACCTAACAATCATGGTGAATAATATACCACAACCAAGTCCAGAACTAGTCCAAAGCAACCACGGAGGTTAACCTATCTGGAGAGCTTATTATGGGTTAGGCTTTTGATTTGGATTCTCCCATCTCATAACAAGTCTGATGTAGGTGACATTCACCACTGTCCTGTTCCGTAGAGAAGGCGTGGGTGGGTTAATAATGTTTCTGAGGCCCATCACAAATCTGGGAAGAACTGGAATGGGAATCCAGGAAGTTTGATCCAAACCCAAGCTCTTCTGCACTGCCCTGTACTGCCACCCTGGTGAACTGCATGAACCTAATACTTCTTAAATCTTTATTTAAAAAGCTGATTTATTTATTATTACTTTTGGCTCTGCTGGGTCTTCGTTGCTGAGCGAGGGCTTTCTCTAGTTGCTGTGAGCAGGCCTTTCATTTCTGCGGCTTCTTTGTTGCAGAGTATGGGCTCCTCTGGTAGCTCAAATGGTAAAGAATCTGCTTGCAATGCAGGAGACCTGGGTTTGATACCCAGACTGGGAAGATCCCCTGGAGAGGGGAATGGCAACCCACTCCAGTATCCTTGCCTGGAGAATCCCATGGACAGAGGAGGCTGGCGGGCTACAGTCCATGGGGTCGCAAAGAGTCAGAGGACTGAGTGAGCAACACTCACACATTAACACACGCACGGGCCCCAGGGAGCATGGGCTCAGTAGTGGTGGCTGTGGGCTTAACTGCCCTGTGGCACGCAGGATCTTGCCAGACCAGGGATCGGACCTGCGTCCCTTGCGCTGGCGGGCAGATTCTCAACCTTGGATCCCCAGGGAAGCCCAGGACCTAATGCTTCTTTTGTCACTCATCTGGAAAGAACAGAGAAACAATTATTTGCTTATTTTTTACATATTTTTCTGAGCATGACATATGCTACTGACATGGGATCCTTGAGTGAAGACAAGCAAAAGGGCGATCCCAGCCTGGTGTGATGGAAAAGAAGGGGTTGTGGGGGTAAGACAGGGGGTGAGGAAAGGCCGTCAGGGTTGGCAGTCTGGGAGAGCATGAGAAGGCCAGTGAGGTGTGTGCGGAAGCCCGGTCTAGCTGCAGTCGGGAAAGATCTTTGAAGCAAGGTGCACTTCTTAGTTACTCAGTTGTGTCTGACTCTTTGTGACCCCATGGACTGCAGTCCGCCAGGCTCCTCTGTCCATGGGATTCTCCAGGGAAGAATACTGGAGTGGGTTGCCATGCCCTCCTCCAGGGGATCTTCCCAACCCAGGGATCGAACCCAGATCTCCCACATTGCAGGCAGATTTCTTTACCAGTTGAGCTACCAGGGAAGCCCAAGAATACTGAAGTGCTTTGCCGTTCCCTTCTCCATGGGATCTTCCCCACCCAGTGATCAAACCGGGGTCTCCTGCATTGCAGATGGATTCTTTACCAGCTGAGCTACTAGGGAAGCCCTTAGACTCGGACCAGATCTGCTCCCAGCTCAACTGGACGGTGCACACGGCTTTACCACCTGCATGCTGCTGCTCTCAGGAAACAGGGCAGGATGAGATGCCCAAGTCCACCTCGCCTCCACTGTGGGTGGCTTGAAACCAGCTCTTTCCTTTTTCACCGTTCCTTCCCCCTCCCTCAAATTAGCTGTAGTGTGAGACTTCCCTGGTGGTCCAGTGGTTAAGACTCTGCACTTACACTGCAGGGGGCAAGTTCAACGCCTGATGGGGGATCTACTTATGGCACAGCTACACACAACCCTGGCCCCGCCAAAATATATAGCTATCATTGAGTTCTTATGGATGATAAGAAAGGAATTCTGGATTCCACCAATTCTCAAGTGGATTACGAAATCTATTTTTTTAAATAGCTATCAAATCAGCTTCTGTTTCTGTGACCATCCACCAATACCTATTTTTGCCTGCCAGTGACTCTCAGAAACAAACCTGGAAGCTTCCTTGCCTCTGGTTTAAATTTACTCCAGCTTAACTTTGCCAACACAAAGGTCGATCCTCTGAACCCTTGGGGTAATCTCTCCCGCCACAAATACCAAGGGCCCCAACTTCTCAAGATACAATTTTTCTCTTTAACAAATTTATAAGAATTCCTTCTCAAGTTAGCTGGTGGGATTTTAATAATTACAGGAAAGTGTGAGGACCCATATTCTACCCAATTCAATAGGGAAAATAACAAGAAATCCTAGATGTCTTAAAACTTACCTTCTGTTCTAAAATATCTCCCAAACCTCAACTCATACAAATGTTTAATCTTCTAAAAGAACCTCTTCTATTTCCAACAGTCTAGGAACACAGTACTTTGAAGTTGTGGCAAAAATCCAATAAATCAAATCAAACGATAACAGCCAATGTCCTGCAGTGGAAAACTGTGAAGCAGACTTTGCATAGTTAAGACAGATGACGTGTGACACTGCTGTTTGTACAAGGGACTCTGGTGTCACTGTTCTAATTATCACGGCAAATTCTAATTATGCAGATCATTAAAATTTTTCAGACTGACATCAGATACCATCTTCCATTTCCCACTTGGGAAAGATGTGTCAAGCATAGAGAAAGAAAGAATTAATGAACTGCTGGAGACATTTCCATTCCTTGTAGAGCTCAGTGACTCAAACTTTTAAGCTCTCTGGTGACTGATATGATCTCACTATGATTCATAAGCCTCTGAGTCAAATAATTTACTTGGTGGCTCTCTCCCAGTGCTGATATTCTAGGGAGGTTTCCTACATTGATGTTTCCCTGCAAATGTTTCTCATCATTTCATTGTTTAGATGAACCCTAAGGGGATAAAAGCAGGTTTAAGGAAAAAGCCAAAAGGAGCAAAATTATGGAAAAGCACCAGATGAGAAGGCAAGGGTCAGGTTTGCACACTCACGTGTGTGCCCCACAGCCTGGTTCTCATCCAGGAACAGTAAAAGAGTGATTTGTTAATGGTATTCTTTCCAAAGGACAAGGTCACAGGCTTGGCTCGGCCACGGCATGGCAGCGGCACAGGGCTTCCTTCCAGCACCCTCATTTTCATCTGTAAAGCAACATGCTTCCAACAGATCAGCTCCAACCTCCTCTAAGGGTCTGTGTAAGCTCTCAGCGTAGAGCAGACACAAAAGGTATTGATGGGATGCAGAGTATACAACACGTGCAGCATGAAACCTTTCGTGACAATAATCTGCTTTTCTTTTCCCTGAAGCCCTGAGTTCTGTAATTTACCAAGGCCAGTCCTCTCCTCTAACAGGACAGCCCCCAATGACCTGCGGGGGGGGCTACAATTCATCTTTCCTTTCTCCTGGGAATCCCACAGCCTCTTGGCGGGTTGGGAAGGATGGAGCCAGGAGCTGAGACCTGCAGGACCACCGAGCAGGTCAATCTTTCCCCCACTAAGTCCATCCATTTTCAGAGCTTTTCCAAGAGCCGTTCATGTAGACTCAGTGATCAACACAGAACAAGCCCGCCGAATGGCTCTGGGGGAATAAGCCATCCTCTTTATTACTTTTGCTCTTTTCAAAAAAAAGCAGCTTCTTCCTACCTCTGCCACTGTGCACTTCTGAATAGATGCTTTGTTTAAGCCCTTGGAGATGAATGAAGGCTTCTGGGGACCCCAAGGTGTAAGAGTGGGCTTTCTTCCCATGAGTCACTGTAAAGTTTACCTCCAGCTCCACTTCCAGCCCAGGTGGAGAAGAAACACAGTCTTGTTAAAAGATACCATGCACTGGAAGATCTCAACTACGATTCCAATTATGTCCATTTTTATAAAGTCGCCATTTTTAAGGAATAAAAGGTTCACAAGATCCCCTGCTTTGGAGGGAGTTAACGGCCGCTCCCAAAGCTGGCCAAGCACAGGTCTTTGGAGACGGGCAAGCCGGGCGCCCCCTCGTCTCTCCCCCTCACTTCTTGCCAGTCCAGTCCACCCAGGACTCCAACTGGATCATCAACGCCTCTCAGCATTCACAACACTTACTTCCCCTCAAGAAATTAGAGCACAGCTTGATGGCAATTTTCATGGAAATTTTAATAGAAGAGTATGAGAATCACTCTTAATTCCTAAAATTAAAAGGTCAGAGTTACTAAAAGTCCTTCTAGACTGAATGTCCGTGTCCCCTCAAAATTCCTATGCTGACATATAACCTAACTCCCAAAGGGATGGTGTTAGGAGGTACGGCCTTTGGGAGGTGATCAGGTCATGAGGGTGGACCCCTCATAAATGGGATTAGCGCACTTACAAAAGGGGGTCCGAAAGTGGGAACACAGCTGTCTGTGAAGTGGGAGTGGGCCCTTACCACACAGTGTTATCTGCTACAGACTTGCTCTTGGACTTCTGCCTCCCACAACTGTGAGAAATCCACATCCATCGTTTATAAGTCATTCAGTCTACAGCATTTTGTTATAGCAGCTGGAACAGATGAACGCACAGCCTTACTGCTGTTCAGAATAACCACTCACATGCAGTATCCCTGGGTTGGCAGTTTATTTTTTTAAAAAAACCAAAAAACCCGGTTATCTTATTTTCTTCCTTGTCGATCATTTTTCTTAACAGAACAAGTTATGAAAAACTGGGGGGCGTTGGGGGGGGGAGGTTATATTACCTTTGCAGACTGACTGACATATTTGTGGAGGACCCGTGAAAAATAACAATGATTCAAAAGCTCCCAGGTTTACTCCTGAATCAGGCAAAGAGCAAAGAACAACATAAGAAGGAATTTTGTTTACAACAATCTCGTAATGCGACATTGATTATGACGGTACAGTGGTTACGATTATGTTCACGACAGGATCTTCCTTGCCCAAACAGCAGACACGCTAAAATTACTTGGCTGCTTACAAACTGGAGGAACCAGTGCAAGCGGTCGTCTGAAGAGCGGGAACCCGAATGGGTAAGGCTTCTCTGGCGGTGAGACTCTGACACCAGCGGCTCCTCGCCCGGGGCCACCTTCCCTCACTTCGAGTCCTGGTCTTTCGTTTCATCTAAGAGGGCAGAGCGGATCCCCAGCTTTTTCAGTTCTTCCACCAGGTCCCCGTTCTGGTGCATCTGCAGGAGAATGTCACAGCCCCCCACAAACTCGCCGTTAAGGTACACTTGCGGGATGGTGGGCCAGTTGGAGTAGTCTTTAATGCCTACAGGGAAAGAACATTGAAGGGTCATTGGAATGAGCAAAGATGAACCTGCATGACGACATGACTCCCTGCTCTGAGCAGAACACCCCGTGTCCCTCCCTTGCTCCCCATCCCTGGGAACAGTGTAAGCTTTAGAGTCCAAGGAACCGCTGTTTAAACCTTGACTCTTTGGGACTTCCCTGATGCTCCGTTGGCTAAGACTTTGAGCTCCCAAGGCAGAGGGCCAGGGTTCAAGGGTTGCCACACGCTGCAACTAAGACTCAGCGCTGCCAAATAAATAAAAAACAACAACAACAAAAAAATCTGGACTCTTCCAATTATAAACTGAGAGGCCTCCATCCTCTGTTTCTACCTTCACCCCACAAAGTTTTTATGAGAATCAGGTAAGGAAAACACTCATAACTGACCTGACTCACAACTGACCCTGGATCATGGCAGAGAACTTGGTTAGTTACACAAGATACACAAGGTGATAGTCCCCATGCTGTGCCAGCCATGATTTCAGCAAAATAAAAAGAGAAAGAAGTGCCACAACTTTGATTCCACGTGGACAACTGAACATGGGCCCATCAGTGACTCACCGGCAGACTGGGCCCCCACCTAATGTTCCTCACGCCTGTCTTGGCTGGTGAAGTAAGACACTGAGTCACTGCTTTTTATCTTTAATGATTCTTTTACCTGAGCCAAAATCCCTCTCCTGTGTCTACAGACTATGGCCCTGGCCCTAAATAGCCCCTCAATGGGACAGCTGAGCCGGTTCAGCCCAGAACTCGTAGGGACTGAGGAAAATAAAGGAAGGGCCCAGGGCTCACGAAGGCCCATGTCCTGGGCCAGGCACAGGGCCACAGGCTGAGGGAGACCCACTCCCCGCACTAAGAGGCAAAGACAGTGGCTCCAAGGACACTCCACGATGACGCGCCTCCTGGGACAGGGCAGCCATCTGATGATTCTGTTCAGAGCTGGGCCACGAGGGTGATGGTTAGGAAAGAAATGTGGTTTCATCTTAAAACATTAAAAAAACAACAACCCTTTTCTGAATTCCTCATCTTTTACTTTCTTTTTGACTCAGAGCCTGAGATTGAAGTGTACTTTTTTAAACATACAAATAAATGAAACAGAAAAGTCAACAGATTCTTCAAGCCAAAGATTATATTATGCAAGTTTTAGAAATCGGTCAAGTGGTGGTTTTTATGTAAACAAATAATACAAAACCTTCTGCTTGATGCCCCATCATTTATTATCAGACGTGTTTGACCAAATAAGATGGCTAATATGAGTTATTTTACAAATAACAGTCCCAAGATACCCGTGTTTTTCTTTTGTAAGTCACTGCCTCCTAAAAAAAAAAACCCAGCAACTTCGCTCGCCAGGACAGCCCTAGAAGGCCACCAGTGGAGAGTTTTATCTTTCTTCTGCAGACAGACTTCAAGGATGAAGAAATGGTTACAACATTATAGGCTCTGAAAAGTTTGCTTCTAAGTCGCTCTCGGTTTCTATTAAAAAAAAAAAAAAAGTCAGCTGGAGGTTTGGAGATTATCAATAAAGGGCAAATTCCACGAACCATCAGAATGTCTTTATACTGGAATACTCTGATGAATTCAGGTTTTTCTTCACTCTGATGTTTAGTATTACATAAATAATTACTTGGCATGTAAGTTGCATGTTTTGGATTTTTTTTTTTAACTCTATCCTCAAACACAAAGAGACTATCAGAATTTACTTATGTTTCCAATAAGTCATCTTTTTTTACTTTTTGATTGGGGGATTAAGAAACGTTTAGTATGAAATTTTTGCTTCTTCTAAATTTTCTTAAACATCTCTTACATTTATGTACACAAACCATTTATCTGCACAACACTATGGGTTTTTTATCCAATTAATAATACATACATTAAGCTTTCCATGGCAATAAATATCTAGTGATTCTTTTGATGAGTGCCTGTAATTTTTTTTTTTTTTTGCCATGCCTTGCAGCAAGCGGGATCTCAGTTTCCCGACCAGGAATTGAACCCAGGCCCCGTGCATTAGGAGTGCAGTCTTAAATCACTGGGCCATCAAGGAAATCCCAGTGCCTACAATTTTTGAAATGCTCCAAAGGTGAAAAAAAATTTGCCATCTGAAGGCCACCCAAAACCACATGTTTGATCCTAAAAAGTATAATATTTTAAAATAAAACCTTTGTTGAATAAAAGAATGATTTGCTTTCATCAGTTGTTTTTATGCTCAACCACGGTTGAACCATGCTCAACCAAAGCATCAGGCTTGTCCCATTCACTGAATATTATGTTGCTGCAGACCATGCATCCCAACTACAAGGAAGGAAGGGAATCCATTCTTACCACCAACACTGCCAAAACAAGTGGGCTTTCGGACCACTCTGAATATCCAACACAGTCACGTGCAAGGGAGACTGATACCTTGCAAACCCCATGGCCCATGACTGTCCCGATCACTTACACTTCAAGAACTCAGAAGAACCCTCCTCAGAGCACAGGGTGGCACTGTGACAGTGCCCAAGGTGCCCACACTGCTGAGAGTTTATCACAGTCAAACTTACCTGCTTCCTTAATTTTTAGATTGTCAAGTGTTGTGGGTGGCTGATGTCAAAGCAAAGCTCTGGCATCTTTCCTAAAAACTATGCCATTTTCCATGTGTTAAAAAGTCTGAATACAAGTTTAAATATTAAAGGAAATACCCAACTGCTTCCTAGACAGTGAAGTGAGAAACCCGAAAACAAGACTATGAATCATAAACTGCAAACTAAAATTCTACCAAGTGACAATGAATTAAATATGGCTAATTCTTCTCATCCTTTACATTTTCGGCAACTACAATGTAAGTGACAATATTTGTGTAGTTCTTGCATCTATCGCTTGGAATAACTCAGAATCAGAGAGCAATTCTTGAAAAATTAGAAAATCATAGCCAAGAATGGATCTTAATGATAACCATACTTTATAGATGATAAAATGTGATTCTGTTTGTGACAGAAAATGCTGAATGCAAAGTTATATAACAGGTAAAACCAGGACTGGGACTTAGGAGTCTCTTACAAAATCAGTTCTATATACACCCACTGCTCCACCAAAAATTTTAATATTCCAAAGTATCAAGTCAGAGGGAAGAAAATGTTCTAGAAAATTCCCTTCCAGAACTTTCAAAAGGTGCTTCTAAAATTCTTGACATTTCAGAACACTGGACATCATTCCTGCTTTGGACAATCAACCATAAGAGAGCACCGTGATTACAGTTTTCTTTTTTCCCGGTAGAGTTTCAGGACACGAGCTTCAGAGTCTGATGCAGGTTAATTCCAACTCTGCCATTTAGGGGACTCTACTCCTTGGTGAGGTTACGTCACCTCCTCTGGAGTCACCTAGTTCTCCATATTCCCTAACTTAAGAGTATGTTAGGACTGCTTGAGATAATGTGAGCTAAAAGCATCGAAAATAGCAGAGCTTCAAGAGAGGAAAAGTAAATCACAGTGCCAAGGAGGAACCTGGAGGAGGAACTGGCAACCCGCTCCAGCATTCTTGCCTGGAAAATTCCACGGACAGAGGTGTCTGGTGGGCTACAGTCCACGGGGTCGCAAAGAGTCTGGCACAACTGAGCGACTGAACAGGCACAAGAGGGAACGAGGCTTTGGCTCAGGGGTCAGCCTGGCTGGCTGGCTTGTAAATACAGCCTCAGGTAAATTGCATTTTAGTCTCAGTTTCCTTTTCTGTAAAATGGGAATAACTCTGCCTCACAGATTTATTATGAAGATTAAATAAGTTAAAACTGGTGAAATGAATTAAGCTCCTACAGTGCCAGGTGCCCTGGGGCTTCTCTCTCCATTTCAGTATCCTCTGCCCCACTCACGGTGATACTCTTCCGACAATATATGCAGTGGGGAAAGCAGAGGGAAAGAATGCAGGGAAAACACCAATGAAGTATGCCATGCAGTAATAAAAATACCATTTACTGAGCTATGGGTTCCTGAGTTCCATACGCTTGCATTTTTCACACATCTAATCTCATTTCACCTTTACAGAGGTATGTATAACCATCCTTATTTTACAGATGAAGAAATAAGGGCTCTTAGGTTAAATAACTTAACCACTGTCACACAGCTAGAATATGGTGGAGCCAGAATTTGTGCCCAGGTGCCTGGGAGTCCAAAGGCCAGGTTCTTGACCACCAGAAGTGGCCTCTGGCTGGGTCCTGGCATCGGTTGCCCACCTGTGAGCCCCACCTGCATGACACACAGATCTGCAATCCATAGAACTCTTCACATCTTAAACATTTACATACACACATGGCATTAAGTCACAATTACCTTTCTGCAACTGGCTGTTGTTTAGTCACTAATTCAAGTCTGACTCTTTTTTGACCCCATGGACCGCAGCCTGCCAGGCTCCTCTGTCCTTGAGATTTCCCAAGCAAGAATACTGGAGGAGGTTGCCATTTCCTCCTCCAGGGGATCGTCCCAATCCAGGGACTGAACCCGAATCTCCTGCAATGGCAGGTGGATTCTTTACCACTGAGCCACCGTTTTGTCTAAACATTGCCTTTTCTGAGACTCAGTCAGATTAAATACATCTAGATCTAATTAATTTTTTAACCATAGCTTAGTTTCCCATCACATCACACAGTTGCTTTCTTCAGTCTGCTGCTAAAAGACCAAGATCCGTTCTTGCCCACTTTTCATTACTACAAAGAAGCTGCACATCCTTACAGGAGTCTCCCAGTTCACAGGCAGGGGACGGTCTCTCCGGCCCAAGGGGTGGCAAACCACAGCCTTCGGGCCAAACCCACTCCAAGTCCTTGTTTTTATAAATAAAGTTTTATTGGAACTCCTCCTCTCTCGTCCGTCTAGGCGTCGTCCCTGACTGCTATACACTCTAACAGCAGAGTGCCAACAGGTGAACAGGTGAACAAGGTTGAACAGGTGCCAACGGAGACCCCTGGGCCCCCAGAGCCAAGTATTTACTCGCTGGCTCCTCACAAATGAAGCCTGTCGATCCCTGCTATAGACTAAATACCCGGGAGCGAAACAAATGGGTCTTCAGGTCAGTTCACCTTCAACCTGCCCGGGTACTGAGAGTCTCTCCTCCAGAGGGTGGGCACACATTATCTCCCTGCCTGCAGCATACAACCCGCCCTCCATAGACACGTACGCACACTCCTGATCTGACTTCTTGCTAACATGACAGCTTTACTACGGCCTTCAAGTCCTTGACACTGGCGAGGCTGAGCGTATTTTCAAATGCTTAAGAACCATTAGACAAAGGATGGTGGTTATTCATTCAACAGACACTGCTCTCGATCAATGCGAGGAATACAAGAGTGAACTGAGGAGGCAGAAATTCCAGTGTCCGTAATGTATTTAGGAGGATGGAATAGAGTTTATGATAAAATGATAAAGAAAGGAAGCAGTTTTCACTGCGACACTCACTGAGAGCTCGCTTTGGTTAAGCAATACATACAGTGCTGCAGGAGTCACAAAGGACACGTTCCCCGCTCTCAGGAGGGCAAAACGCTACATACAGACATGTGCGATCTCAACTCTACTACAAAAAAACCAACTGTTGGAAGCTAGATCCCAATGTTAATAATAATGGTTTATGGTTTCTACCAGAATTACAGGGGATTTTCATTTGCTTTAGGTTTTCATCATTGTTTTCCAAGTTTCTCCCATGAGCACATGTTTCTTTTGCAACTGAAAGTGAAGATTAGTCTTTGTTAAGACCAGGAGTGGGATATGGTGACATCTACCCACTGGGACCCTATCTCTTTGGATCCCACTGTGGTTGTCTTCGATATGTGCTCCAGGTTTTAGAAAAGGAAAAAAAAAAACCATGAAGAAGGACAAAGTGCAAAGCTGCCTCACAGTCACCCTGGTCCCCTGGGTCTCAGGTCTCAGTCTGACACCTCTGGGCACCACACTCCATGGACCCAGCGCCCAGAACTAGGAGACAGTGTCTGAGGGTCTTCCTCCAGCTCGGGCTCTTTATAAAGCTCAGCCTCCTCTGGCATAAGAAAGCAGGAAAGGCCAGTTTTGTGGGAATCCCTCTCCTGTTGTGGTTTTCATTCTGTCTGCCGTCTAGGGAAAGACTGAAGGCAGGAGAAGGGGATGACAGAGGATGAGATGGTTGGATGGCATCACCGGCTCAAAGGATATGAGTATGCGTAAGCTCCGGGAGTTGGTGATGGACAGGGAAGCCTGGAGTGCTGCAGTCTGTGGGGTCGCAAAGAATCAGACATGACTGAGCAACTGAACTGAACCGAACTCTCCTGTTACTGGAAGTGAGCTTGGGTCTGGGAAAGGCGCATAGGAATGACCTTGGTTGGCAAAAGCAAGCATCAGACAGCCTATCAGTCTCTCGCGGTAAACTCAAAGCTGTGGCAAGCAAAAAGATGGAGTCTTCAAGTTTCAAAGCCTCACCCAGGCGAAACTAATCCCCACTGTGAAAATCTGCTCACACCGCCCTGCCCTAAATCTGGAGGTAAAGACTTATACTAAAGCTTACTTTTCTAGGCAATGAAAGACATGTATTATGTTCAATATACATGTAACACATTCACTAACTAAAGTAATGGTCTGATGAAGGTCAACGGTCAAGAAATTTAGGGGTTAAATTCCCGTTGCTATTGTTTGAACACTTAAGAACAGAAGACTGAAAGTCAGACACATAAGTGCTCTTAGCAAACACATTCTCACTCGCCCCTCTTACTTTCAGTTCACTGGCCAGACTGCAGTAGGGCCAACCTCTGGTTATATTTAAAAACATTTTTTTAAACTGAAGTATAAATGATGCATAATGTTTCAGGTATGCAGGCAAAGGGATTCAGTCATACCATCCGCTGGTTATATTAAACAGGAGAACTGAAAGTCACAAACCGGAGGCTCTCAAAACTTTATGCTTAGCAAGATATCAACAACACAACTTTTTACTAAGGGCCATAGGGGCGAGGCAAGGTCCCAGCTGAGAGACTGCAGTTACTCCCATCTTATCTTACAAGCAGAGACACCCTGCTGCTGGGTGAAGACTAGCTCACCCTGTATGTGAAAAAGGCCAGTCACTTGGTAGCGTTCCAGTAGATCAGGAAGGCAAAAGAATCGTGGGCATAATACATGGTAATCTTATTTTTTTTAAATTTTCAGTCACTCAGTTGTGTCTGACTCTTAGCGATCCCATACCTCCTGGTAATGTTAACCTGCCTTCACTCCTCATTTCCACCCACCAAAACCAAGAGTTCTATAGGGATTAGATAATATGGGGAAAAATACTTTTAAAGCCATAGAGTGCTAATAATAAAACAGCTACCTTTCAGTGGGTGCCTTCCCTGTGCCAGGTGAGATGACGGGCAATTTCTAAAAGTTTTCCTTTCTCTTTGTTCCTCACAAAAACTTTGGCACATGTGGTTTCATTATCCTCATATTATTGAAAAGGAGAATGCAGTTTTGTCACTTGCTTCAGGCTGCAGAATGGACTGACCAAAGGATTCTAACCTGAAGCCTTTCCCTGACACCCACCTGTCTTGTCCATGTTGGAATGACTATGATGGACAACTTCAAATGCAGAACAGCAAAATACAGAATTCTGCAATGGAGACTACCATAGAACTTGGTGCCTTACAACTCTCTCTAGGACACTGTCACTAAACAACCTCAGGAAGACTCAGGGAGAACTCAGTCACTGAAAGTCTAACTGGAATGCCACCCTTCAGCGGGTACACGGACAGTCCCCCCATTTCTCTGCCAGCCCCATCCACCTCAGCCAAAGGGCAGGACTAGTGTTCCAGGCAAGAATACTGGAATGGGTTGCCATTCCCTTCTCCAGTCCTCCTACTCAACTCACTGTGAAACAGAAGAATGCAGGTAAAGTTCACAGCAGGAGACTCAACAGCAAAGATGCTAATTAACTGTCAAGGCCCTCCTCCCTCCCTCCTGAGCCAGTGACAAGTCACAACTCTGCAGAGTCTGCCCCAGAACCTGACTGGCTCCTGGAGCTGCCAGCTTGAGTTAGCTAGGCCTCTGGGGTCATTCCTCGTCCCTCTCCCCACAAACCTCTCTAAGATACCCTATACCCCACAAAACTCCCCCATCCTTGAGTATCCGAACATAAATTTTCATGTCTTTTTCTCCCACAGCAGCAGACGTCAGCTAAGTAGACTTCAAAAGCTGAGTCAAGCTCCTCCTTGTAAGCAACGGCAGAGGACTGTCCCTGACCACCCCCAGCCTTGAGGCAGGATAGGCCAATCTCTGAACCCCCAAGCCTCAGAAAAGGGCAACCTCAGCCCTTCTCACACCATAAACAGCACCTGCCCCTTATCCACGGGACAAGCCACTCCCTCAAATTGTCCCCAAATGCCTATTTCTTAGGGCCTCTTCCTGTATCCCTTTGCCCCGCTTCCCCACTCCTGTAGAGCTGGGAGTCGGGCTGCTGACCATGTTCCTTGGACTCAGCCGAAGAGAACTCGCCCCGAAACGCCTATTGCAGCTCAGAGTGAGGATCGGAGAACCGCTAGTGCTTAACTCCGCTGCACAGACTGGCCCAGAGCCCCAGATCTTCAAAACCCAGTTCCAACTCGATCGTGCCCCCACCCTAGATGCTCTAATGCGGTGTGGAAACCCGTACCCTAGCCCCCTCCCCTCGAGCCCCCGGACGGACCTGCCCGACAGACCCTCGGCCCCGCAAAGCGGCCAAGGGAGGTCGCCCCCCAGCCCCGCCCGCAGCCGGCCCTGACCTTGCCGGAGCTGGGGGTCGTCCAGCACGTTGTAGGCCGCGTAGTCGCGGACGCCGTGCAGCCGCAGGATCTGCACCACAGCGTTGCTGAAGCCGCACTGGGGCTGCTCCGGCGTCCCCTTGAGGAAGACCACCACCTTGTCCTTCTTCACCAACGCGTCCAGGTGCTCCGATGAGCCGCTGCCGCCCGAGCCTGCAGCCCGCACGCCCGGGCCCCGGAGGCCGCCGCCTGCGCCGCGCCCCCAGCGGAGCAGAGCCGTCGCCGCCGCCGCCGCCGCCCGGCCCAAGGACCCGCTCATCCCGGCACGCTGGCCGCAGCCCTAGACCGCCGGCGACCTGGGCTAGCCAGCCGGAGCCTTCCCGGGGCTCGGCCCGCCCGCCGGAGGCCCTCATTGGGCCGGCTCCGAATAGCTCTCCATGATTGGAAAGCGCTGGCCCGCAATTACTTGATTCTACCAATCAGATTGCTCGTCCCGACCCGACAGGTTGAAGGCTGTCCTTACGTCTGAGCCACCACCCACTCCCTTACCATTGGCCGTCGGCAACCGCTTCGTCAATTGATTGGAGGAAGTGAATGTCCATCAGGGTCACGACATTCTCGCGGTAAGGAGAGGCGAAATCGGAAAGACGACTTCCCTCCGAAGGGTAGACGGGCCTACTGGGATACTGCTGGAGGACTGGGTCAGTCGCTGGGCGGGGTTTTCGCAGCTCCGCGGAACGCCGGGAAGGGGTCACGTCCAGATGAGGGTTCCGGTTCCGGTGCAGACGGCGGCAGCGGCGTTGCCACGGCAGCGCGGTGGACAGGTACCTGGGTGGTGGGCTCGCGGTGTTGGAGGAGTTGGAGTTGGAGTTGGCCTCGGTCCTGCGTTGTCCGCTTAGGTGAGCTGTCGGAGCTTCTGTGAGGCCGCGGCGGGAGCGGGGACCGCGCGGGCCTCTGGCGGCCAGACCCGGCCGGGGTTACGAGATCGGGGCGCGCGGGGCCTGAGTCCCGGCCCTCTGTCTGTCCCGCTGCCCACGTGGGAAACCCAGACCCTTTCTCGCCTCTGCACCTCGATTATTTCACTAAAATAGCTTTTGATTTTTGAAGTTTATGAGGCGCTCTTGTCTGTATGGTCAGGGCTTCGCTGACGTCTCCAGACTACTTAAAGCCTCTGGGCCTGGGCCCCAGGAAAGGTGTGTTGAATGGGAAACTTAAGAAAGGAATTGGTTCGTTCGAGAAATGTTTTTCGAGCAGCTGCTGCGTGCAAGGCACGGCGCTGGGGCGAGACGTCCAGTGAGACCTGTGCCCAAAAGTGGACAAATGAGAGGCGGGCACAAAGCAATGTGGGGCTACAGGGGAGGGAAAGGAAGCCTCCCGAGGCCCACCGCTTTCTCCATTCTTCATTGTGCATATCACAATGAAGAATGGATGCTTGTCGTGCATCATTAGCTTGTTGTTGCCTTCCCTCCCAGACCCTCGACTTCATTCACCGCTGCGTCTTCAGTACGGAAAACGGGTGCTTACGTTGTGACAAGAGTGATCCCCGAAGAGCGGGGCTCCGTGAAATCGCCACGTGATCTGTAGTCTCGGTGTCGCACTGGGTTGATGGTACCCTGGAGCATCCCAGACTTGCAGAGAAAGCATCCTCCAGAGGAAGCTGAGGCATGACTGCTCAAGGGCCGGCAGGGCCATGTGCAATTTTCCTCTGATAGTTCCCAATGCTGTTGCCACGGCGATAATGGCTGTGCCATGTCATTGTCTATCAACCGACAGGAAGAGAAACTTTGGCAGTCAGATATTGTTTAACAGATGAAGTGGTTTCTGTTGGACACTTAAGTACTGCTACAAATTACCTTTCTTTCTTTCCTTTTTTTTTAAAAACTCTTAAGTATTTTAAAAGTTGTGGCTGGAGGTGACCTCGTTCTGCATTCAAGGTTAAAAAATCTGAAAATTAGTATATGAGCTCTCAGCAAGAGTATCTTCTAAATGATCATTCAGCATGAAACTTGAGCCCCTTAAGCTGAAAATTAAACTCAAGACTTTCTTGAGAAATGCTCCCCAGTGACATATTTATTTAATCCCCCTTTGATCTTTGATGTTATTGATGTTTAGTACTTTACTAATGTGGGACCCACGATTGATCACTTTCTTAAAGAATCCTTGTTTCTCCCCACAGTCATTGATTCCAGGTAAATCAGAGGAACAGACATCATGAACAGAAATAATACAGGAAGTGATGTGATGTGGAAGTTTAACTGTTGTTCCAGAAGTCCAGCGTCTGTGGCACGTAACATTAGGGACTGTATCATTTGCATGGTCACCTAACTTTTACTCATATTGGGTTGGCCAGAAAGTTCATTCGGTTTTCCTGTAAGCTGGGGAAACCCGCACGAACTTTTTGGCCAACCCAATACAGTAAGTTTTGTTTTGTTTTATTTTAATAAATATTGACAGTTTGTTCCAGAAAACCTAAATTGTTCATTGCCTGCTCTAAGCTGCCTGATTCTTTTCTTGTGTTCACTGGAATAGGGAGAAGAATTTGCAAACTGATTATGAGAGTCCGAAATGTAAAACTGGGTCATGGTGGGTAGCCTGTTGTTTACCTGGTGTGTAATACTGGCTTTGCCAGTACAATTGACAGACATTTTATTAAATTGAGAATATAGCTGTCATTAAAGACTAAGAATAATCCTTGAGCAGGAAGAATATGAACTCTATGTTTTCCAAACTTACGGTAGAGTTGCTGGTTATAGTCAAGTATGGTGAGACTGTCCGTGAAAGGCAAGGATATGGAAAAGCAAGCGGGGGTTCTTTCAAAGAGCGAAGTGGGATGGCTTTGATAGGATGATGAAGGGAAAGAGATCATATATCTACACCAAAGAAATTGAAACAATACACCTAAATTTAAGTTTTTAATAAAGAGACCTAAAATATAAAATGTTGTATGTGTTGAATCTATTCCTTTCTGTCTTTGGCTTAAAACCACTCATCAGGTGTTGGCACCAAACATCAGTGATTTAAAGGATCAAAGAAAATAGTATTCAAAATATTTCCTCCAAAGCACCAGCCTCTTGTATATAACTTGGCATCTGAATTACCAACTTTCTCACTGGAGACTCTATAGTGAACCTATGACAAAAATACACTTTTTAAACAGTTGCATTTGTATGCAAGTGCGTTTGGGTGTTCTGAACAGGGACGTCACCCTCTTTATCAGTTTGTGATCTCTCCCTTGTGGACATTAATAGGGAGGTGGGGGTGGGAAGTACAGGGAACTTAGAATCCTGGGATTTGGGTCACAAAGTGTTAATTTGGCCCCAAACTAAAGAATCCTACTATGTAAACGCTGACTCAGGCATCCTAAAAATGTTTTTCTTCCCCATGTTTATTTATAGATAAGGCTTTACTATATTTAGTGAAATTTCTCCTTTCTACCCACTCCAAAAGCAAATGCACAGGTTGAACTCGCAGTTAAAACCTTACAAATTTGACATCGTTTCTTTCTATGTATCAGCCCTAAACAAAAAGTCAGGATATCCAGCCTAAAGATGAAACTATTTGAACACTCGGCATGTGTTTTCATACCCTAACTTCAGTCCTGAGGTTCATGTGGCCTTCTGACAGGGTGTGGTTATTTTGTATAGGACACATGACCCAGAAACATCCAGTAGGTCTGAGCTGGCCAGAGCATTCTGTGTCATTTTAAGAGAAAAGTGGCTACTTGTGTTGCGGGATGGGTGGGGCCCCCAGACATTCCTGAGCTAGAATAGCATTGGAGACCCAGATTTCCGTAGACCTGAGCCGGAACCGAGACCTTTCTCCATGAAGACCTTAGCTCTTGAGTCATTTTAGAGCATCTCTGCAACCCTGAAATTAACTTGATTCCCTAAAAATAATGTGTAAGAAAATGTGCGGCAGTGCCCAGCCTCCCGAGAGGAGTTTTGCTGACTCGTAAGGCAAAGATAGAAATGCCTTTACAACCTTTACTACCTCTCTATCTGACAAGACAGCTGGGTTTATAAATACTTCTCTGGCCATGGGCGTGGCCTCAGTTATGCTAATTGCAGTTTCTCACATCATGTGGGCTCAGCTTAGAGGCAGGAAAGGAGTCTTTGTTCAGGCACCCTCTTCTCTGCCACAGAGGTCCTGTTCTCCATCTGGGTAAAATGAAGAAAAATGCTGTAAATTGAGTTAGTTCAGTCTAAAGCAAACTGTGGGAGATTCAAGTGAAAATGGATCCTTGAAGAAGCTTTATGAAAGCCTGGGTGTAACAGCAGAACCTGATTCTGTTCTGGGATTTGGGATGTAGAGTGCATGGTCTGGCTTCCAGTCCTCAGCGTCTCGTGCGAGCTTATTGGGATTGTCTTAGGAATTTCTCGCCCCTCACATCTTCCCCCTTCCTTGATTTGTGAAGAATATATTTGTGACATTTGAAGTTCAGTTCAGTTGCTCGGTTGTGTCCGACTCTTTGCGACCCCATGGACTGCTGCACACCAGGCCTCCCTGTCCATCACTGACTCCCAGAGTTTACCCAAACTCATGTCCATTGAGTCGATGATGCCATCCAGCTATCTCATCCTCTGTCGTCCCCTTCTCCTCCTGCCCTCAATCTTTCCCAGCATCAGGGTCTTTCCAAATGAGTCAGCTCTTTGCATCAGGCAGCCAAAGTGTTGGACTTTCAGCTTCAGCATCAGTCCTTTCAGTGAACATTCAGCACTGACCTCCTTTAGGATGGACTGGTTGGATCTCCTTGCAGTCCAAGAGACTCTCAAGAGTCTTCTCCAACACCACAGTTCAAAAGCACCAATTCTTTGGTGCTCAGCTTTCTTTATGGTCCAATTCTCTCATCCATACATGACTGCTGGAAAAGCCATAGACTTGACTAGACAGACCTTTGTTGGCAAAGTAATGTCTCTGCTTTTTAATATGCTGTCTAGGTTGGCCATAACTTTCCTTCCAAGGAGTAAGCGTCTTTTAATTTCATGGCTGCAGTCACCATCTGCAGTGATGTTGGAGCCCAGAAAAATAAAGTCTGCCACTGTTTCCACTGTCTCCCCATCTATTTGCCATGAAGTGAAGGGACCAGATGCCATGATCTTAGTTTTCTGAATGTTGAGCTTTTTTGTTGTTGTTTTCATTTTTAGTTCACTTTTTATTTTAATCAAATCTAGATATGCACATAGATTAAATAACCAAGTAGGTTTTATAAGCTTTTTCATTAGGTGATAATGTTCATCTCTTAGTCAATTTCCTTGGTGCTTATCCCTGTATAAAGAACTTGTCTACTTAGCTACTTTCTTAACTGTTAATGTTAAGGTG